AGGTCGACGTCTGTGGTAGGGTTTTAAATTAATTTTCCTAAATTAAAGGAAATAATAACTTAATTATTTAATTACCAAAATTAATTAATAGGTAAGATTACAATTTTACCCCTATCTTGGTTTTTGAAATGATTGGCCCACAATTATTCCTACGTCCACACAATACTTAGTTAGAATACTTGAACTGTCACAACTCCAAATTTTAGACCTAGTATGGTCAAAAACCTAACCAAGTACTAGTGTAAACCACATTGCAAAATATTTGTTGCATGATATCCTCTATAGTCTTAGGGCTTGCATATAGAGCTAACAAAGAAGTAGGAATTGAAAGCCAAGCAAAGTTAGGAAGGTATAATCCAACTTTGGGTAAAAGATTAGGGTTTAAAACATAAATAACACATCATAGAAGTGTTCACGGCCTAAAGGAATAAAATATAAAGGTGTTCATGGTCCAAAAGCTTCTAGAACTTAGAGTTCATGGCCAAGAAGGATTCCATGATGTAATTCACAGTTTGAATTAAATAGAAAATGTAGTTTACGACCTAGGTTTGATTCACAAAGTTGTTCACGGACTAGGAATCAAAGAAACAAGGTGTTCTCGGCCATGTTATGACCGTGAACATCAACCAAGGCCCAATTAGGACCGTTAACCCAAAGGCTTAAGCCCATTATGAACCGTAAACACCCCTATATATATGTATTCAACCGTGAACAAATTCATTTATCACATTTCCAGGCGTGAACACTCCCATATTTGCTCTCAACTACCATCCGTGAACCTTCATAAATTCATGAAACTTTGCCCAAATCTTCAAGTTTTCACCAAGAACATCAAGAACATTCAACCACATCTTCAATTCTTCAAACATCCACCAAGAACATACCGTGAACCCATTTTCCAACCGTAAACCCCTTTTCATTTTTCAACCGTAAACCCCTTTCAACACTTCCAATTAATTTCAAATAAATATTGTAAGTGTCCCTTAACTAATTAAATCACTATTTAATTATTATTTAAATTAACATCTTATTAATTTAAATACGACGTCGGGGATAATTATTTTTAGGATACGACTGCTGTCACGTATACTAATCTGAGGCTTTACCGTTAACACTTCACAACTCAACCGAGCACACACATTCGATGTGAGTTCATACCCCTACATTTTCAATGTTTGTAATATTTTTAGGGGGGAATACAAGTAAAACACAGGGACTATTGTGTTCATTCAAACATTTTTAAATAGTGTTAAAACTTTTGCAATGGTTTCAAACTGAGCAAGTCGCTACATTTCCTAAAAATATTTTATATATTTTAACCCTTTTGTAATATGTCGAAAATAAGGGTAATTGCTTTCATACAATTAAATTGTAAATGTTTTCATTTCACTACGAAACATACATTTAAACTAATTGCACATAGTTTGGAAATCTCTACACTATTTTGCTAAGTACAACACACGGGATCAAAACATTTATTCAAACTATAATAGGTATAGTTTGGGAAACACTACTCTAATACATTGGTACAAGTATACACTACTAAATAATTATTTAAAAATAATTATTCTACATTACAAGTACATTACTACAAGGGTTATAAGGGAAACAGATATGGGTTAGGTCACTATATACAAGTACAATACGTTATTTTCTAGTACAAAACATACTTTTCTGGAAGAATATGTCTACATTTCAAATAGAATCATTACAGTTAACTCTATAAGTACCTAGTGGATGTGTTAGGGTTATATACAAGGAAGATCCGACAGACAGTGGAATGTGTGAATTCCGACTCATTTCTTGTTCCTTGTTTGGTTGTGGGCTTAGGGCAGAATCATACAGTCGATTGTTTGCTCGATCCAAATTGTATATAGCTTGTATCCATTAAGTACTCGTAGAAAGAACTAGCATTGGTCACGTTTCTTACATTCATTACATCAGAAAATATAGGATTTTCTGGAGGAAAACATTTACATTTTCAAAGAACAAAGAACATACTTTCCAAAACAAAATGCTTATGAACTCACCAACTTTAATGTTTACACGCTTTCAAAAACCACTTGTATTCTTAGGACACTAGTAGATACATACACACACCGGGTTCCTAGAAGACGGAGCATTGTAGCTTCAAGTCTTTATTTTTCTATTTACTTTTGGAGTCAATCATATGTGATTCGAATACAATGTAAACATTTTAATATCAATACAATGGTTGTTGTTGCTTTGATTACTATTATTCAATTGTTGTGATACTGTACATGACGTCCTCCACCCCCGAACGTTTCTGCCGTTCCAGTTTGGGGGTGTGACATGAACCTAGCTCTCTCTCTCTCTCTCTCTCTCTATATATATATATATATATATATATATATATATATATATATATATATATATAGAGAGAGAGAGAATTAGGTTCAAATGTTTCTAACAACTATTGTGTGCATGAATGCACCAATCACAAATTAGTAAAAAAATAAATAATTAATAAATTGTTTAAGGGTATAATAGCAATCTATACCATATTTAATTATAGAGAATATTCAGAACATTTAATATCCCTTTAAATTAAATTAGGATAATCAATTTTGAAACCCTACAAAATCATCGGCCGACATCACAATTGTTCAGCATCATCCACCGTCGCCAATTTCATCTGCAACGATCCCCCTCGCCACCCATTTTTTTGCCGATTTTCTGGTGCCGATTCTTTTTAAAGCAACTTAATTCCCTTTGCCAACTTGCTTTCTGTTCATAATTATTTGCTCAAGTGGTAGTGTATCGCTGGAGTACCTTTAATAGGCCACTGTGTGTTTTTATCATGAGCAAGGATTGGTGAAAACTTTTGATATCCAACAAAGTTGTTTAGTAAAGGTGATTAAATTGATACGAAGCTACATTACACTGACCACCAGGTTTCCCAACTTGACTCACTAAGTTTATTTGTATCACATGTGTCGATACGAAGCTACATTACACTGAGAGATTAAAGGATATGTAAATCACTAGTGTAAATGAATGTAAGGTCTTTTTATACTTATGTTTCTGTATTGACGATGACATCCCAAAGTTTTAATATAAACAAAATACATTTCTTCGGAAATGTTTTGATAATATAATTATCATGTTTTTTTGGGAACATATACCGCAATATTATTCTTTAAAATGAATAATCTGATTTTCAAATAAGCATAAATAAAATTTTAAAATGACCGTGAATTTGGGAATGTCACACATCTAGAGATTATAATGAGTCGGTGTTATCTTATTAATATAAGCAATGTTATGATTATTATGTGCATTGTCATTAGGGGTTACCCACTAAGTTCTTTGTAGCTTACCAACTCTATTGTTGCATGCTTTTCAAGTGAATTCATTAGGAAGCGAGGAACTGTAGAAGAGAAGTTGCGATACCCGATTTGGATCATTATATTTTATTTCTTTGATGTGATCTTGTTGATAACTACTTGCGCTGGATTGCTAATATAAGTGTATACCGATGTGTTATATATATATATATATATATATATATATATATATATATATATATATATATATATATATATATATATATATATATATATATATATATATATATAATAAACAATGAATGAACTCAATTTTCTCAAGAACATGATATTAGATAGGAGAGTGCATAGACAACACATCATGGTTGATGGATAACATCGTTCCCTCTATTGTTATTACGTTCTTATTGCACATACGATTGTATCTTGATATACCAATTTATGGTTTTTACTGTTCATATTGACTTACCCCTTTGCTTGCCTCTTTTTGTAGGTTCTCGAAGCATATGCTCTATATTTGATTATTCATATTTATGTCTTGCTCTTAACTATGATTTACTCTCCCAATTTGTCTTTTCTACTGTTGCACATGTCGGATGTCATCCAAGTGACGCAGACGCTCTACGGGTGTGTTTGGGTTAGCTTTTATTTATTTATCCCAAAAGTGATTTTTAAGAAAAGTGCTTATTAGTTTATGACTTTTAGGAAAAACAGATTTTAAAAAGTGTTTGGATGAGAAAAGCTGTTTTTTAGGAGTAAAATGATTAAAAAGCTAAAAAGTTAGGATTTTCCAACTTTTTAAAATTTTTACTTTTTCCTATTAAAAAAGTTGTTTTAAAAAACATTTTTTAAATACCCAAACGTCTTTTTTGGCTTGTTAATTTTTTAAAAAACTAATAAGCTATTGTAAAAGCTATTCCAAACACCCACTACACCCATTTGAAGACAATACTATCAACATGTGCTTCCCATCCCATTTTAGTTATATATATTTTTTCGTTTGTTGTTGAAAAGAAACAATTTTTATAAGCAAGTACTTAAATTATTTTCTTTCAAATTTTCAAAACAAATCTTAAAAAATAGTATCCAAAAATAGAAAATGATATATAAAAAAATAATACTGTATCCCGTAATCATCTGACCGCTAATTAAGGAAAAACAAATATTTCGTGATCACTTTTCTAATTTTAATTTTATAAAAAAATTTGTATAATGCTTAACAACTATCACATGTATGTGCTAAGGGAAAAACTATCGTAACATCAACACGGATTGACTTGCTCACCAACTTTTCAATTGTAACGAATCAACAGATCAAATGATTTCAATTCAATATCTTTAATTTAGAGTTTAGGCAAAGATAACTTTACCTTATTGTTTTCGCATTCTTTAATTCCACCAATAATTTGGCATACAGTAATGACTATTAATATGCTGGTTGGTCGTAAAAGATGGACGATGCTTTCATTATTATACCAATTAATCTAATATATTTTATTTAAAATATATAATGTAGCAGATTACCATTTTTATTATTTTATATTAAATTTAACAATTTTAATACAAACATATCATATATTCATATTCATTTGAAGGGAGCCATACATAAATATCTAATCTAAATACGAATTAAAAAGTCTAACTTTTTTAAGGATTTCGTTCCGTTGGTGATAATAATTTAAAAATTTGTGGAAATTCTTGAATTTGCGATCACTGTCCGGAGCTCCCGACAATGATTGCTTTCACATAATATATGACGCGTTTCGTTTGGCCAACATTTTCAGTTTCCCATTTCTCATCTCACCTGCTTCTCTAGACCCTTTATCTCCCATAACCCCTAATCATACTCAAATCAACTCTGCATCGAACTTTCGTTCAACTACTCTATAAAGAACCCCTGGTAGGTAGCAACAACCCTCGCGAAATTAACCAAAAAAACCCTACTGAAAATGGTGTTTCAGTAAGAAAGAAAAAGTTTTTACTGTGCTCAAATCTTTAGTCTGATCACTGGTGTAAATTGAACTGAATCGATGGCGGGTGGTGAAGGAGAAGGGACATCGTTAGAGTTTACACCCACATGGGTTGTCGCCGCCGTTTGTACCCTCATCGTCGGAATCTCCCTCGCCGTCGAACGTCTACTCCATTACGCCGGCAAGGTCTGTACTTCAGTTTATCCTTATATGTGAAATGGGCTTTCATTAATCAAACTAATATATGTTCGATTAACCCTTTGTTTGTAGAAATTGAAGAAGGCAGGCCAAAAGCCACTTTATGAAGCCCTGCAAAAGATCAAAGAAGGTCTATCTTTTTCTTCTTCCAGTTTTTATATATCGCTAGAAATCAATCTATACAATGGGTTTATCAAATCTATGTAATAAATTTGAAGTGTAAGTGATCTGGGTTATCAAAATTTTGACGTTAGGCTACCAATTTTGGTCTAAGTTTGTTGAATTTTGACTGATTTGGATGCAGAGTTGATGTTGTTGGGGTTTATTTCGCTTCTATTAACGGTGTTCCAGTCTAGAATCATCAAGATTTGTGTGAAGGAGAGTATCATGGAACACCTCCTCCCATGCTCGTTGAGTGACAGAAAAGAAGCCACCGGTTCTAAGCCAGAGGCAGAGGGTACATCTCATCTTCGTCATTTACTAGCAGAAGAAGCAACAGCGACGGGTTATTGTGCTTCAAAGGTAATCAATTTCATTCGTTATTACTCTACCCACTAATTGTTTTTGTTAGAAGAATTTCATGTTCCATGATCAATAATTGAACACTTACTTTATAAGCTTTTGCTTCTTTTACTTTCTCTGTTGACAGGGAGGAAAGGTCCCACTGCTATCTCTTGAGGCGTTGCATCATTTACACATCTTTATTTTTGTCCTTGCGGTTGTGCATGTCACATTTTCTGTCCTCACAGTTGTATTTGGAGGGGCAAGGGTGAGTAAAAGGCTTTAATTTGATTAAATATTTTTTTTACTTGTATATAATTATTCATGTGGTTTGGTTTCATCCCCTATATCCTTGTAATGGTGTAGATAAGACAATGGAAGCATTGGGAAGATTCTATTGCAAAAGTTAATTTTGATGCCTCACAAGGTAAATACCAAAGGGTTATGTTATCATGTTTCATTTATTAATGGTGGAATACACTCTTCCACAAATCAAACCTTTTAATAGATACAACTTGTAATTTCTTCCTTAAAGATGATTAATAGTTTGTGTGTTCTTTATAAGATTTTCTAATTTGAACTTTTAACCATGTTGGTATATAGTTTTGAAGCCAAGAGTGACCCATGTTAAAGATCATGACTTCATCAGGAACCGATTTGTGGGTATTGGCAAAGGCTCAGCCATCCGAGGCTGGCTGGTAAGTTACAATCCAAGAAATAGTAATATACTTTTATTTATTTGTTTATTATAATTTATAGCATCCTACTTTCTTTCTTTTTTATTACTTTGTATATAAGATCACATTGCTATAATTGTGTAGATTTTCAAAATTCAAGTACAATGTAATAAAAAGAACTGAAAGTAGAATGCTATGATAACCAAATCAATGGAACTTTGATTTCTATTTCTTGCATTTATTTCTAAAGTTTACTCTCCTTTCTCTATTAGATTTGTTTCTTTTTCTTTTCTGACATTTATTCTTTGGTGAACATTATTACAGCATTCTTTCTTCAAGCAATTTTATGGATCTGTAACCAAGTCGGATTATGTTGCATTGCGTTTGGGATTTATTACAGTAAGGACGTGAATAGATACTTTGCAATATTTTTATATAATTTATACCCCTTTTTGATGTAAACTTTCTTTCTTAGACACATTGCAAAGCGAACCCAAAGTTCAATTTTCACAAGTACATGATACGCGCTCTTGAAGATGATTTTAGAAAAGTCGTTGGGATCAGGCAAGTGGTTATTTGAATATGATCACCAAAACTATTAAATAAAAAGTAAAAGTAACACAAATTGACCTATTTTTACATAGATAGGTTAAATTTTCCCCTTGCGAACAAGTTTTAATTCCTGATTTTTGTTGTTTGCAGCTGGTATTTGTGGGTGTTTGTGGTCGTGTTCTTGTTGCTAAACATTAATGGTATGCGATCTCACTTTTTCTTCTCTCAAATTTGTTGAAATCTCTCCTTGTGATTGATTGGTTGATTACTTGATTTGGTTTCATATATTTTATTGCTAACATACCAAATGGATGAAATTAAAAAATTAGCTAAAGACTAGTCGGCCAAGCATACTAGGTCTCACATTTGTAATTATATTTAACACCTTGTTTATGTATGCAATCCAAAAGACTTTGTCTCACTTTTGATTTTTTTTTTCTTGGCTTTTTGCAGGTTGGCATACGTATTTTTGGATTGCCTTTTTCCCTTTCATTGTAAGTAAACTCAAACTCATACCGAAAGGCTGTCTTATCTTATTATTTTAAAACTTTGAATATTATATTCATTATTCAAACATCTTTATTAAACTTGGATGTCCGTTTAAACTGATTCTGATTTTTTTAGTTATTTAAAAAATAAAGTCTTGTTTGTACTTTTATCCAGCTTTTACTTGCTGTGGGAACAAAGCTGGAGCATATAATTATTCAGTTGGCTCATGAGGTGGCAGAGAAACATATAGCCATTGAAGGCGAACTGGTTGTTCAACCTTCAGATGATCATTTTTGGTTTCACAGGCCCAGAATTGTTCTTTTTCTCATACATTTTATCCTTTTTCAAAATGCATTTGAGATTGCATTCTTCTTCTGGATATGGGTATGTTTCTAATCTCTTTGTAAAGATGCAAAAAAAGAAAAAAAAAGAATTGATTATTCTCACCCTTTTCATTTTGATAATAGGTTACGTATGGATTTGACTCCTGCATAATGGGGCAAGTGCGCTACATTATTCCACGGCTTATTATTGGGTAAAGTAAACCTTTTATTTAAAAAATAGGGTTAAATATTTGTGTATGAAACAATTTTTCATTATTTTCCAAATTTATGGAACAAACTGATTTTATTATTACTCAGTTTTTGTATCATATTTAATGGATCGTACTAATTATTATATTCAACCACACTAACTATACAAAATGGATTTACATCATTTCAGGGTTTTCATTCAGGTTTTGTGCAGTTACAGCACTCTACCACTTTATGCTCTTGTAACACAGGTACTTCATTTCAAGAACTTTTTTTTTTTTTTTTTTATCGGGTTAAATGCAAGAAAAAGTTCCATTGGTTTATTTATTACAGCATCCTACTTTTATATCTCTCCATTACACCATCTTACTTTGAAAAATCTACTCAATTATATCAAAATACCATTCAAATACAAAACAATCATAATTGCTATAATCGGTTAGATTTTTCAAAGTATAAGGGTGTATTAGGAAAACCATGTAAATTAACTGAAAGTACATTGCTATATCTTGCAATCATGGTTTTTACACAACTGTACATTGCTGATTGGTACTGTGAATGATAACTAGATGGGAACTCATTTCAAGAAGTCAATATTTGATGAGCATATGCAAGCAAAATTTGTGGGTTGGGCTCAAAACGCCAAGAAAAAGGTAGCCACTAACTCAGGAACAAATGGCTCGAGCCATGATGGCCCATCTGGCTCAGGTGGCTCAGCCACTGCTGCTACTTCAGCTTTTAAAGGGATTCAACTGGCAAAACTTAACCAGAGTCAGCAGCCATAAAACCAAATTATTGCCTTGTGGAGATGCATATGTTAATAGTAGTCTGAAAAATTAGGGCCAATCTTGAATCTTGTTCTTCTATATGTTGGGTTTTAGTAATTGTGTTTCTACCAAAATTTTGTTTTGAACATTGAAAATAATGTAACGATTTGGATCCATGATGTATGAGGTGAATGCTTGATGGTTTAAAGTTGGTGTTATGCTGAGTTGCTCAATTCGTATACACGCAAAATTTATATAAAAGTATTTGATGATTTCTGGTTGCATAAAATCATAAATCTATAGGATATTAAAAAAAATAGAGACCTACGACTCATGTATTAATCACCAAGTGGCACCTGGTCAACCGAATCTTTATTAATTAAGTATTTTAAGGCTTTTGGGTCCCTGCGCTAGAGTTGATGGCTCTTCTGATTTATTGCAGTTTGTCTCGTTGTGAATTTATCTTGTTGGGCCTATAAATTTTGCTTTAACAGAACTGTTAACATCGGTCACATTTAACTTAAATGTGACATAATTATATAAGTACAGGTACCATTTTTGCCAAAAGGGTAAAGATTCTTATTTTTACCTCAAACTTCAAATCTTATTCTTATACTAATAATAAAAAAAATATTATTAGTGTCACTTTCATTTTCTCATAACTTATTTTGCTTATCAAATGCTCTATAAAAATGATATTTGTCATTTTCTGATATTTTTTTTTTAAAAAAATTATTGATGTTGGTAATAAGTTAAACAATTATTTATTTAATCCCTGATTTTTAGAAAAAATTTAAATTCGTCTTTAATAAGTTTTGGTTATAATTGCTGATAATTAATTGTATTTTTATATTGAAAATCCTACAAAATCATGTTTAATTATTAATTTAGTGAAAAAAATTGATTAGTAATTATGAGTTTTACTATAAAAAATAATTATTTTTGTAACCATGGTTTCCACGGGCTATAACCTAGTGGATATATATATATACACACACACACACGAAGCTGGTCTTACGGTTTCTTGTTTTTGGCCATTGTACGTCTTGCCGAAGTTCATTCATTATTTGTTTTAATTATTCCACAAACAATACTTTCATTCTGAGTTTGCATAACAAACTGGTATTAGAGCCATTGAATGATTTTTTTATTGATCCGTGTTGTAAAGGTGGTACTTGTCTACGTTTGTCTTGTGGTAGATTGAAGAGGATGAAGTTTGCAATTGGTATTGTGACTCCATGGAGGTTATATATATATATATATATATATATATATAATATTATATATATATATATATATCTATATATATATCTATATATATATATAGGCTTAGGTTATTTTGTTTAAAGTAATTAATGTGTTTTTGTATGCATAAATGTGGGCCAATCAAATTTACTTATTTTAAGAAAGTGATTAATATATATTATTGAATTAAATATAATTGAAAAAATCATCTTAGTTAATTACAAGAGTAATTTATTCAATTAATGTAGATTTAATAAAGGAAAATTGCATTTTTTTAGGGATCATAGATTCTATTAATTTTAAAAATCCGATTTTACGAATTATAATTCTTTTAATTCAGACATTCTGACATAATATGTTTATGAGTATATTCAAAAATAAAAATATTCTTGAACCATAAATAATAAAAATATTCTTGAACCTATTTGTTGATCATGACTTTAAAAACTTCTTGTAGAATAACAAATTCTTGAACAATCAATTGACGAATAAATACAAAAAATACATTATTTCTTATAGAATACGGGTAACAATTGCTAGGAATTACATTTATTGTTAAAGAATAAAACTAAAAAAACTTTCAAAACGGGAAAGAAAACATCAAAATCTAACAACGACACTTATACATTCTAAAATAATAATGTTGCTTAGAATCACTTTCAATTTTGTGGTCCGTTCTTCAAGCATCAACTTCTGTGAAAACAAAACAAAATTGTAGTTTAGATTCCAATAATGCATTAGCAAATGAAAAATAAAAAACTAAATTCATTTGGAAAAAGATGTGGACTTCTGAATTGCACCAAAACCAATAAACAAGAATTGTAGAACATGCATAAATCAGTGAGAAAATATCCATACTTCATTCCAACAGAATTAGAATTCATGATTCCATTCCAACATAATTGGAATTCGTGATTCCATTCCAATAGAATTGGGATCTCACAAATATCATCCATTGAATCATCTACATAAACAAATTAATTCCAAATGAAAGAAGCATCAAAGCATCTATGTATTTTACTAATCGTTCTAGACTTGTACAATTCTAATTCAAACATAACTAAAAATGAAATATAGTCAAAACAACTCAAACTTAAAAGTCTAAGTCTAATATATTAATTGAAACCCTTTCTTATCAGTTCTAATTGAAAGCCAACTTGCCTACTGCCCACTAAACAAATCTTTCAATCCAATTCGGATTCAAACCAAGTTTAAAATCCCTAAAAATTATTCATGCTTAGATGGAAGTTTGAAGCCAAGACATGGGAAAATAATTAATACCATCGATGGTGTATCATTATCAACCAATCAAACAAACTATCAATTGTATCAATTATCAAAACTTAAATCACAGCAACATCAAAACTTAAATCACAACAACATCAAAAAATTCATATCAATTACCAAATATCAGATTTGAGTTCTTTTTGGTTGTTGATTTGGAACTGAATTGGAGGCAGATCCTCCAATTGTATATTCCAAAATCAAAGCCCATCCCATTATCCAAGCAAGACTGAAAATTAGAAAATGGTAATATCAACATTCAAGAATTTTACAATATCATAGCATATTAAGAATTTGAAGATGAAGAACCTACCCTTCTCCAACACAGATGTAGGAATAATGATAGGCACTTCCAGCTGAAGGGCAGCGACTTGCAAGCTCAGCATAACAAAAGCCAGAGACAGCAGCTGCTATACCAGCAATAAGGAAAGAAAAGGCCAAAGCAGGGCCAAAATGTTCTCTAGCAACTGTACCCACAAGAATGTAAACCCCAGCTCCGATCGTCGAACCTTGTTTTCGTCCACCACCGAGAGGCTGAAGACCAAGAGGCTGAAGAGAGTGGCGGCAGCGTTCTCCGCCCCCAATTCGGCGGCTGTTGACTGATATGGAGTGTGTCGTAGAGTGTTCCATTGGACATGAATTCCACTACCAACAACCGATTTTGTTGTGGGGTGTTTGTGAATTCGACTAAATTAACGAGACGAGGGCTGTGGATTTTTGACAGGATGTCGATTTCGTTTTCGACTTCGTTGTCCGGCAAGGTGGAGATGGCGGAATGATGGTGGTTGTGATGAGAGGGTTTTTGACGGCGACGAGACCTTGCTACACCCCACAGAAGCCACATCAGCCTCACTGTGATTCCCGTTTCCTGTCTTCGGCCTTCCACCAATCGACAGCACCCCAAACGATTCCTGCACCAGATTTCTTGGGTCTCCGTTACCTGCGCTCGTTGTTTGCCGTCGTCCATCTTTGCCCGATCAAAAAGAACACGGGTTTAAAAGCCCTAATCCTTTAAGTGGATCCACTTGTTGAAAGCAAAGATAAAACCCTTATTTATTTATTTAGGTTATAAATCAATACCATGATTATAGAGATTATTTTTGGAAGTTACTAAACAAATTACTAAATTACCCTTATTTATTTATTTAATTATTTAATTTTGATTGGCCCACAATTATGCATACAATAACACAATAGATACATTAAACACCTGAACCTCTCTCTCTCTCTCTATATATATATATATATATATATATATATATATATATATATAGAGCTAGGTTCATTTGTTTAAACTAATTATTGTGTTATTGTATGCATAAATGTGGGTCAATCAAAATTAAATAATTAAATAAATAAACAAGGGTATTTTAGTAATTTGATAAATAGCTTCCACAAATAATCCCTATAATCATGCTAGCATTCAATTTTAACCTAATTTCTTTTCTTATATACAGCCGTCATCGATGTCTTCCATCAAAAAGAATGAACTGAAACAAAAAGAAGGGCTTTATTTCCCTGTGTTCATCACCTGACTAACAGATAGGGCAAAGATCGGGGAGAAGCATCGGTCTTAGCTAAGAAATCACAAGTAGAGAGGGATGGGCAATCGATCTCCGGAGGACTCCTCCTTGGTCCATCTGCTTCGTCACGAGTGATCACGAATCAAGGGGGAGAAGAATCAATCGACAGAAGACAGAGAACCAGAAAAACTCACCGACTTTGGAGAATAAGACCTTTCTGCGCTTTATGGGATCGGATACGGGATCGGAGGAGTGGTGCTTCGACCCTATTTTTCGCAAATTACGGTTCCGACGAGAAGCGAAAATGTTTACAAATGCGGGAAATAGAAGAAAAGTATGTAGGCGACTGTGAAGTTACCTTAGGTAGATAATAGAAAAAAATTACTAAGATGGCAACTTTTTTCTCTCGTTTCTTCTATCTCTCTCGGTCTCCCTTTATGTTCTCATCCTTCTTAGGGCCTGATCCAGCCAGTAAAGCACTTCAAAAAAACCTCAGCACTTCCGACGCTGCCCTTATCTAAGCAAAAACCGGCATTTCAATTGAAGAACCACCCTGCAATTTCAATCTAAAAATTAGGGCTTTTTGTTTACCATCTCCAGTGGTGTTCTTTGGCAGGAAAACAAAGGAGAAGAACAGGGAAGGATTTGGGTATTTGCATCCTCTTGTGTCTCTTGTCTGCTAGATTTGTTGTAAGTATTTTCTTTCTCATTTAAATTTCGTTGATTTATATATATACACAGACTACACGAATTAAAAGATAGATATATAGGGATTACTAATTTGAAAAGTGATATAAACAGAGCAAAAAACGACCAAAGCTATTTTCAATATCGGCAATGGCTCCTTTGACGTCAGTCATCTTGAGCAGTGTTTTTGTTTATCTCACCCATGCCCATAAACACGGAGTTCAAGTGGTTAGTTTAGTTTCATTTGCGGTTTTATCTTTGATTGATATATAACGAAATTAAAAGTACACTAATCAGTTTTTACTTATTTATTATTTTGTGTGTGTGTGTGTGTAAATATATACAGATTGGGGAATTAAAGAAAGGACTGAACCCCATTACAATCAAGCATTTCTGTCACTAGGGGTAATAATGTAATTTCTGGTAACAACGTAACATGTTTTTCTTTCAAATGTTTCTCTCTTGATTACTGGGAATTTACCATCTCTAGTGGTGTTCTTTGGCAGGAAAACAAAGGAGAAGAACAGGGAAGGCTTTGGTTGCTTCATTTGACAAAAAAAAGAAGGAAGAACAATGATGATGATATCTTCTTTGATTGGGTATGTTTCTTTTGATTGGGTTTTACTAGTTAAATAGATAAAAAAAATCAATTCTCGTGATGATCTTATTGTATAGTTGTGAATTTTGATAGATATGGAGCACATTGTGATCTAAGGGAAAGAAAACATAAATGTGTGGTACAGTTCTTGAGATTGACATGAAGAAGATAAAAGGAATCAAGAATTCCAATTCTGTTGGAATGGAATCATAAATTCCAATTCTGTTGGAATGGAATCATGAATTCCAATTCTATTGGAATCTAAACTACAATTTGGTTTTGTTTTCACAGAAATGCTTGAAGAACGGACCGCAAAATTGAAAGTGATTCTAAGCAACATTATTTTTGTAGAATGTATTAGTGTCGTTGTTAGATTTTGATGTTTTCTTTCCCGTTTTGAAAGTTTTTTTAGTTTTATTCTTTAACAATAAATGTAATTCTTAACAATTGTTACCCGTATTCTATAAGAAATAATGTATTTTTTGTTTTTATTCTTCAATTAATTGTTCAAGAATTTGTTATTCTACAAGAAGTTTTTAAAGTCATGATCAAGAAATAGGTTCAAGAATATTTTTATTATTTATGGTTCAATAATATTTTTATTTTTGAATATATTCAAAAACACACTCTGTCAGAATGTCCGATTTAAAAGAATTATAATTCGTAAAATCGGATTTTTAAAATTAATAGAATCTATGATCCCTTAAAATATGCAATTTTCCTTTATTAAATCTATATTAATTGACTAAAATACCCTTGTAATTAAATTAGATGATATTTTTCAATTATATTTAATTCAATAATATATATTAATCACTTTCTTAAAATAAGTAAAATTGATTGGCCCACATTTATGCATACAATAACACAATAATTACTTTGAATAGAATAACCTAAGCCTATATATATATATATATATATATATATATATATATATATATATATATATATATATATATATATATATACATATAGACACACACACACACGTACGGAGCTTGTCTTATGGTTTCTTGTTTTTGGCCATTGTATGTCTTGCCGATGTTCATTCATTATTTGTTTTAATTATTCCACAAACAATACTTTGATTCTGAGTTTGCATAACAAACTGGTATTAGAGCCATTGAATGATTTTTTTATTGATCGATGTTGTGAAGGTGGTACTTGTCTACATTTGTCTTGTCGTAGATTGAAGAGGATGAAGTTTGCAATTGGTATTGTGACTCCATGGAGGTTCTTATTCAAAAAAAATGGGTCATTAACATCTCATTCACTCCATCAAGGTGTGTTTATGTAATTTCATTGTATGGAAGTTTGCCAATTTTGAATCTAAGTAACTATAATACTTTATTGATAAAACCTTAAGGGGCTGTTTGGTATAGAGAATTGAAGGGAGAGAATTGGAATCATTTCCGCTTCTCTTGATTAGTTTACAACTGAAAAATGAGAAACGAGAAAAAATTGATTCTCTTTCCACCTATTTAATTCTCTAAATTTTGTGAAGAAATGAAGAGAAAAGATAATTATCAACATCCGAGATTTAGTAAAAAAAAGCGGAGAATTAAATTGAAGGTTGCAATCTCATTCACGTTCCAAGTTCGAACCTTTCTCTCAACTCCATCTCTCATCGCATTTCGCTTCAGTATTCCTACGATTTTGGTGATTACTCAGTTGATTTTGAAAGGGAAAATCGATTTAGGAATATTAACGATTCGTATACAACTCTTTCCTCTCAAAAGGTGAACACTCATCAAGTTAAATTTCTTTTTACTCATCGATCAAAATTGCTTTTTACTTATTGATACAACAGATAACACATACCAATTGAAACACTCATCAAATGCAATTGTTTTTTACATATTCTTATACGATTTGGTAGCCAACAAGACTGATGAACAAAAGATCATTAGTTTTGCGATTATATAGTGTTGGATTTGATGTTCCTGAATCTTGATGATAAATAAAATTTTGAAGTATATGATGGAAGATAATAAGAACTAGTTGAGGGAGGGATTGGCTGTATTAAATTGGTTCCTCATAATTTTTTGATAGGGAGTTTTATAGCCTATAATGTGTTTGATGAAATGCCATTGAATCCTTTTGAAATTGAATGATGATGTATAGTTGTTTTACTCAATTTTTGATTAATCCAGTCCTTTTATACTTTTTGTACTTGAAAAAACAATAAATTGTTTGGGAAAATGAACAACCAAAGAATGGTTTTGTGTGTGAACCTAGCATGGCTATGTCATTTTTGTCCATTTTATTTCAATCTGTTTGACTGTTTTTAACTTTTTTTTATATATCTAATTTGTAAACAGGATAGCAGCTTGACTTTGAGGACCCTCCTTGGACAAAGAGACCATACTATGCTCATATGGATAATGCTTGTTGAATGACAATTATAAATGAGGTGCTTAAAAGTCTGAAGATGGAATTAGTGAAGCAGGAATATGAAGCATTTCTTTTAAAAATATAATGTTGAGAATTATTTATAGTTATTATTATTATTATTATTGTTTTGTAAATTATCTTTTTTTATGAGAATCATGTTTTCCGATACAATATATATATCTTAAAAAATTAAAGTTACATATGTAAAATGTTGATTGATAGTTATAAACAATAATTTGTAAAAAGGAAATGATAAAATAATTAATTAGAAATATAGAAAACACATAATCAGATTATTATAAAATAATGTTGTTTGAAAATGATAAATATTGTAAACAAAGTTCATTTTCATTTCATTGCTTAATTCAACCAAACAAGAGAATTGATTCTCAATGTCATTTATCTAATGAATTCTCTACTATACCAAACAGTGGATTCATTTCTCTTTCTCCAACTTAATTCTCTTTCTCTGCATTTCCGTTTCTTGCTTCAATTCTCTTTCTCTGTACCAAACGCACCCTAAAGGGTAAAATAAGATTTACAAGTATACATAGTACAAAATAACAACATATGCTGATAACTCGGAATACATATAGATAAATACATTATCTATGACTTATCGCTAACACTCCCCCTCAAGCGAAGAGGTGGCAAACCAACTGTTAAGCTTGGCACGCAACTGTTCAAATAGAGGGCGTGGAAGACTCTTGGTAAATATGTCAGCCAACTGTAAAGAAGTAGGAACAAAACGAGTGTGCAATTGTA